CCACTGTCCCTTCTATTAGTAATACCACCTCTAGAAACTTTGAACCATCTCTAAATTTTCCTTCTCCTCTACCTCTCACACATAATCATTTCAATTTAACAAGCAGTTATTAAGTGACTTCTCTGTGCCAGCCCTTGTGCTAGGTACTAGAGATGCAAAACCAAAATGAATCAGTCTCTGAACTCATGGGGGTTATAGTCTAACAACCAGTTGTGTGCCTTACCCTACTCTCCATTCCTGCTATCATCTAACTGAGTCCTTGCAGTAGCTACCAACAGGTCTCCCTTCCTCCTTCTACACCATCCTCAACTAATGCTCACATTTTTAAACATTTATTTTTCTTATGTATAGGCAGTATTATACCTCTGCTCAAATGGCTTCCTATTCCAAATAACAGAATGTTCAATGTTTTTGGCATGGTATTATTCAAGGCCTTCCACAATCTAGGCCAGCTCTATTGTTCTGGCTTTTTGTCTCCTTTCAGGTATACTACACTTCAGGTAAGCTTAACTATCTACTTTTCTACCTCCGTGATTTTATTCATGATTTTCCCAATGCCTACAGGAACTTCATATTGCCAGTATGCCAGTTCCCCAACCCCAATCTGATGAAATCCTATCCATCTTTTTAAAGCCCAACTCAAAAAAAAAATCTGCTATAATTCATCCTTCACCCCCCACCACCTTGGCTTTGGAAGAAATGTCTTCTCCCACATCAGACTTCAAACAACATTGTTTTCATCTCTTTTATATACTTTTCAGACATTCTGTTGGATTAGCTATTTATGAATACATTTCCCTGCTATTTATAACTTACTCAATGTCAGAAAAATGAGCTTAGCTGAATTTATCTTTCCAAGAATGTAGCACAATGTTCTGTACACCATAGGTGCTTAGTAAATGTTTGCTGGATTGAGTTAAACTTGGAAATTCACGGTCTATCTTCTAAACAAACATATTTTTCTTGTGACAAGTAGCCGTTAACAACTGTACTTGAAGTAACTGGCATTATAAATACTTAAAAAAAAAAAAAGAACTATGGCTATCACAATACCACTGTATTTAGAGCAACTAATCGGGTGAGCTATGTTCTCAGGCTCATCCCCTTAAAATCTACCTAAGAAATCAGATGTCTCAAAGCTAGATGCATCCCACAGATAGGAAGGCAAAGTATCAGCTGGCAAGAATTTAAGAAAGTGGAATAAAAATAATAGTATAAAAGTCCTAACTATAAACTACAACATTATAGCAACTTATATGTGACCAACAGTTAAGGAACAGGACTAGACATAAGTCTATAGTAACAACAACTAACTACTGAAAAAAAATGAAAAAGAAAGTGTTTATTCTTCTGCTTACAAGGAATTATTTTTAAAAACTACCTCAAAGTATAATTGTATTTACTGTTCTCCATGCTTTTTCTGTCATAAGAATCACTGTGAGAATTATTTTGCAAGCTGAACTTCAGGAGTCTCTGAAAAACTTTCCCTTTAAGATTTTACCATTCTGCATTGCTAGCATTTTCCTATTTTGTCGAACTATAATTCTTCAAATGCATAGTTTAGTATAAATACCAATAATGTCTAAAGAAGGGGTTTTTAACCTGAGGTCTGTGAACTCTTTTTCCCTTAATATTTTGATAATTGCTTTTCAGTATAATTGTTTTCCTTTGTAATCCAATGTATTTTGTTTTATTTATTTGAAAACGTTATTCTGATAATGGTCCAAAAGATTCAGACTGTCAAAGGGGCCCATGTCACAAAAAAGTTAAGGACCCCAAAATTATTAGAAAATAATCACATTTGTCAGATTGACAAAGAACAGCCCCAATATAACAGATGATTTAGTGATAATGTCACACAACACAATTATTTAATACAGAACTATTGAAGACAGAATAAAATAATTGTCACCATAGTTCTAGGGTTCATGGTGTCCTGGGGCTTCCCCAGGACAGATGGCAGGAAGGGCTTGATGCTATGAAGGGAAATTAAATCTCTATTTTAAGCAATTTGGAAAATTTAATATAAAAGGCTTCAGGTCACTTCATTTCCTTAATTCTATATAGGTGACAAGAATCAGGAAGGAAATAAATATTGTGTGGTGGTAAAGAGAAATCTATATTGTCTCTGATTTATTCAAAGAATTTATCCATTGGGAATCTAAATCCAGTGAGTATAAAACTATAGTTTTATAGTATAAAACTATCTTTCCCCCCAATTCAAATTAGTTTATGATTATTTTTTCAACTCTCCAGCCACCACAAAAATACACCTTCTTCAGTATCACTTAGATTCTGAAGCACAGATTTTTTTTTCTTTAGGGAAAATATATATACATCCAATAAAGTCCAATAAGGAGATGAAAAGCAACCCCTGCCTAGTAATAAATGCTTCATGAAACTGATAGGTAGGTTTCATGCTTATTTCTGAAATCTTCACAATCTGAGCATGTTAATAAATTTAAGGAATGGGTGAAGAACCATTTACTAATCTTGTTCCCTTAGCACACATTAGGAGAGAGAGAAAAATCCTCTGAAGCACAATTCTCCTTTGAGAATTTTTCAGGTTTAATTGTGAGTACAATGTATGCTGCTTCTCTGGGACCTCCACATTGACTCTATTACTGCTGCTATCAGCAGACTAAAAGAAAGAACTTAAAGAAATATTTCAACAACAAAAAATGCATGAAAGAAAGCTTTCATGCTTATGAAACATGGTTGAAAATTTAATTTCACTGAATATCAAGCCAACACAAGCCTTACAAATGAACACCTCCTTGTTGCTAATTTTGGGCTATTTTACTTTTCATTTAAAAAAAAAGTAATTCCAGCAAAACTCATCTGAACAGCATAAAGCTCTTGATATTTTAAAACATTTTGGAACAATTACTTTGATGGGAGCTCTCGACAGTTAAATGACTCTGTTAAATGAATGTTACAGAAGACACATAATGATTTTAGTGAAATATTGAATTTCACTAAAATGAGGAGAACCAGTCATAAGCACCATGGTTATATTTGAATAATAATATCTTGCTTATACAGCTCAATGTATTATGGATTTTTTCTAATAATCATGCTATCAAATAGTCAGGCTATGTGTACATTTCTCATCCCAGGGTTCCCCACATTTTGTTGGCTTTCTGTTTTTGTTGTTGTTTCCTTATCTAGGAAACCAATAAGGACATCTCTAACTCTGCCTGAATGTACTTTTTACACTGGAATTGCATTTTCCTGTTGGAAAGTAAATGGAATTATCTGCCTGTTCTAAAGCATTCCTAGTTCTATTTTTCTTGTTATTATTGTTGTTGTTCTCTCTCTCTCTCTCGTTTGCTTCATGGGATTCAAAAACAAAAACTTTACAAGTCCAGAACATAATGCTCACAAAAAGTATCAAATTGTGGTCATGCTGGCTTTTTAAAAATCCTTGACTTTTAGCATTCTTTTGAAATTCACTTATAGAATACAAGACAGCATTAAAGCTTTTACATATTTTCTTATAACAACCTTAGAAAATAAATATTGAAATAATAAAACTCTCATCACTTTATTCCCCCTTTTCACTATACGCCAATGTATGAGCAAATGGGCCATACTTCATGTGAAGCTGAAATTATTTTTATAAAATTTTGTTTTGAGAGGGGAAAGGAGGGAAGTAATGGAGAGTACTATTCATGTCTACACTGATTCTGACGTGCCTTTACAGGGTAATTTTACACAACTTTATGCTTCTTCCAAACCAGACTTTCCATTGCTCTTCAAGTTCATACTCTTCCCTATGCCAGGAATGGCAGACCCTCTCTCTAAAACTGATAATCCTTTAATGCCCAGATGAAATGCCATCTCTTTTGTGAAGCTGCCATTGATCTCCAAGTCAAAAGTCATTCTCTGAATTCTCTCAGTACTGTGAATCCTTCTTATACTTGTTCAAATTCTATTTTGGATAATACTTATTTGTGCATGTCTTATCTCTCTAGAAAGGTAAGTTTTGTAAGATGTAAGTGTCTTCAGGGCAGGAATAGTATCCTACTTATCAGTGCTTCTCCCTCAGGATATAGCACAGTATTCCATACGTATCAAATGCTCAATAAATAATTTTTGTTTACTTTCTGGGGAAAACTGAAGTAGAAAGGACAATTCCATTCATGGTGGGTAGTATCTCCCGTGTACAAATAGACTCTGCCATGACAAAGGATTTTTAATGCAATTCTAATATTCTGTTTCTTAATGAACAGCAGAGATTGATACACGACAATCTAGATATTACTCAGAAAGTTGGATGAAAAGGATCACAGAAGATTTCTTGTTGCAAGTGATAGGGGAAAAGAGAAGGTAATTTGAAGGGTTATTAGCATAAGGTTTTACCGAAAAAGGTTCTGAGTGCTGTTGTATATGGTCATTTACTAATCACAGGTGGGTAAACTCACTCACACTAGTTCACTTAGAAGATACTCTCTGCAGTACTTTACACTTTTTCCTGCTTAAAGACACAGCTGCTCTTAATAATTATCTTTTCTCCTTGGTGCAAAGAGATTATTTATCCTAAGCTTGCTGACATTCGCAGGAGTTTTAGCTTTCTCCACTGAAAATGTAGATGATTGAAAGGATATTGCTAACACCTGCAAAAGAAATTCAATGACTCCATGGTATGTAAATTTAATTATTTTCTTTTTTTTCCATGGTTTTTTTAAAAAATATTTCTGAGCTTTAGAAAAGTCCTAGTAGTATCTTTTCATTTAGAAGTGGTTCAGTGGTTCACTGAACAGGCTGACACACAATTTCATAGGGGGGAAAAAAATCTGTACCTTTAATCTAATTTGTGCTTTCAATTCCCAGCTAATGTATCTGGGGAACCTGATGTCTACATTTACTAAGAGACATCTGTAATGCATAGAACCAAGCCCTCTGCAATTTCATGAAGCATAGGTGAAAAATTAGTCTAGATTCTTGCAGCTGCTATGCCACATAGCAGACATTTATCAATTTCTCCATATACTCACAGATGTAGAAATATTCCCGGCCTGGCCTGAACTCAAATCCTAGAGAGAAGGGAGTGAAGAGCTGGAATTTTTCAGAAAATTTCAGTGGTCCATTTGGAGAATGAGGTCGATTACATTCCCACCTCTTGAACCCTTTGGAGGTGTGGTCACAGGAGCTATAGCCATCAAAGTTCACCATGTATAGGACATAGCGTTCTGTCTTATCTTCAGGGACTGAGTCCTCATAGTGAGGGCAGAACACATCCAGGTAGTCATTAATACAGACATCGATGTGGTAGTCTCCTCTCTGGAATCTAGGAGAAAAAGAGAAAAGGATCAGATTATTCGTGGGCAAAAAGCCATCCATCCAGAGCTATTATATTACACAGTAGAGCCACTTTGCAATGGTCAGGTTAAGGGACAGAACTAGCACCCACATTATGGTAGTGTTATTGCATGAGATTGTTGGGCTGTGTACAGGGATTTGTATGTGTGTCATGATTTGATCTACTCTGTATTCAAATCCAAGTAATCATAACCTGTTATAGTGGGGTTTCACTCTATTTAGTTTAAGGTATGCAACATTAGAATTACACTTAAAGTTTTAACTGTTCAAATTCCTGAGTTAATTGTACAGTAACTGTAGTCAATTTTCAATTATCAGCATTAATTCAATTAATTCGATTAATCAGCAGGAAAAGAAACAATTACATATATAAATAAACCACTAACCTCATTTTGATTCATTAACCCTATTCTCCTCCCTGCCTTATATCTCTTTCTAAACTGAATTTTTTAAATATATAAAATGTTTGTCTTCATTCCTTTTTCTAATTGACTTTCAGGAGGAGGTTTGGTAAGTAGTGAAAGGGAGAATGTTAAGTGTACAAGAAACAAGTCTGAATTATTCTTAAGTCATCAAATACACATAAACACACATCAATTGTGACCTACAGTATAATCAAGTCTTTTCCACCAATCAATTGGACACTTTCTCAGAATACACTAATAGTCAAATCAACATGGGAGCTTTTAGGAAGTACAGATGGAAAAAGTTGAAAAACTAATTGCAGTAGGGCTGGAGATGCCACCTCTAAAATTTTATAATTTTTTGATCTAGGAAGTTGTTTTTCAGCAGCAATTAAAAATAAAGGTTTTTTTAAGTGCTTCTAGCATAGAAAACTACAATGAGGCAGCACAAAGAAAAAAATCACTTCATTTTTAGTTAGTAAATTAATTATTCTCAGAATGAGGTCTTAGAAAATTTATCACAAAAGAAAGCTACTGCTAAAAACAACAACAAAAACTCAAGCTCAAAAACAAAACAACAACAACAAAAACTCAGAATCTTAGAGTTGGAAGGAACTTAAAAGGTTATCTAGACCAACCTTCTATCCAAAGAAGAAATTCATTCTTCAATATCCCTTAAAAGTTTAGCCTCTGCCTAAACACTTTTAGAGATGGACAGCACAATATTTTGAGACATAGATTGTTCTATAGTTGGACAGATCAAATTATTAGAAAGTTATTTATTATATACAGATGAAATATATCTCCCCTATGTGATAAGAAGTGTTATTAGAAGTGATGACTGAATAAGTCTATTTTCTCTTCTCCAAGACACACCTTCAAATATATAACATTATTATATCACTTCTCTATGAAGAAGGTATCTGATACTTCAAATTGTTCATCAAATGATATTACTTTAAGGGCTTTCACCATGGTAGTGACTTTCCTCTCTACTCATTCCAGTTCACCAACTTCCCTCTTAAAGTATGGTACCCCAAACTGAATATGATATTGTCTACTCATTGCAGACTAGAGTGGAACTATTTATTAACTGTCTTAATCTAGTTCACGTACTTCTTTTTAATGCATCTTAATTTATGTTATCTGGGAACCAGAGTATAACACCTTTTACCTCTGAAGAACACCAAGCAGGGTTAAAAAATGACAACCACATAAAAATTTGGGGTGGGGGAATCCATAGCAAATAGAAGGAAAGGAAGAAAATCATAGACATAAAAGTTAACCCCTATTTTGCCCCAAACAAATCAAATGGAAGGCATATCAATGACATTACTTCCTAAATTGTATTCTCAAATGTAAAACTATTAGTTGACAGAGATATTATCAACATTCATCCCCTGTGGTTTTCAGAATAATCACTCTGTAGCTCAAAAGAAGTGAAAAATCATAGACTTTTACATCTGGGAAGAAAATTAAAGATCATCTAGACCAGCACTCTCAATTTACAGACAAGAAAACTGAGACCCTTAAATGATTGACTCAAGGTCACACAAAAGTAAGCAACAAAATCAGCCTTAAAACTCAAATCTCCTGATTTCAAGTTTGGCATCTTATCACATCAGTTCTTCAGTTATTAAATAATGGAACTCATCTCTATGTCTTCCTCTTTAAAAAAAATGCAAAACAAAAGCAAACCCTCTTCACTAGGCTGCATCTATTTCCTTGCTACACAGATATTGGGCTATTGATACTTACATTTACAGCTGTCCTATGATCATTTCATTTATTATTGGCAAGATGCTTTGGCAAGATGCAGGGAAAGCCCATGATGCTTTTAAAAGATTTTTAAAAAGCAATGTAACATTGTTGCCAAAGTATAAAAAGGACATGCTGCAATATTCAGCTAAAAAGATGCTGGGATATGAATCATCAGCACACAGAATAATTTGACAGTTCTGAATGAGTGCCATAGGAGAGATGCAGCACTGTCCAGATGCACTTTGTATTATCTTAATTTTTATTTAGGTTGCTGTTGATGATCATTTTTTTAAAAAATTCATTGGTGTTTTCTTTCACACATTTTTAGTCTCTTGAGCCATGTATTATTGAAAATTGGAAAAGTGAAACAGCTTCTCCAAATGTTTAGACCAGTCCAAGACCAGAAAGTATCGAGAGGTTACAGACCCTACTTTAACTCAGATTTCACAAACTATCACAAGTATTTTGCAGCACATATTTCATTCTCTTCCCAATACTTACTCTAAAATTTTATTATTTTTTCATCTGACAAATATGATGGTTAAATCCCATTGTAGGGTTTTCCGGTTAGTTTTCATTTTTGGTGTATGTTGCATCCTCCTCTTCCCCTTCCCCTTCCCCTCCCTCTTCCCCTTTTTCTTCTTCCCCTCCTGCCCCCTCTTCCTCCTCCTCTTCCTTCTTCTTCTTCCTCTTCCTCCTCTTCCTCTTCTTCTTGTTCCAGGTACTGAGTGTACCTTATAATAATGAGTTAATGGTACAGTTACAAATGAGACTTGCATTTAAACATGGTCCTCAGAGTGCAGAAAAAGACAATTTTTTTTTTGGATATGACCCATGAAGGGATTTGTTTTGCTTGATTTTGAGTATTTACTATGAGTTTTTTTCTTCAGTGGAAGACAAGGAAAAACAGATTTTTATTCACTAGATAAAAATCATTTAAGTCTTAAAAAATAATAGCTTTCTGTTTAATCACCTGGCCTCAAGCCTCTCCCTAGTGCCCCTCATAGCCATCAAGATAATCTTCCTAAAGCACAGGCCTGAAAATATTATCACCCTGCTCAATAAACCCAGTGATTCTCTGTTAACTCTATGATTAAATAGAAACTCCTCTGTCTGGTATTTAGAGCTTTTCACAACCTGGAGCCTCCTTCCCTTTACAGTCTTCTTATACATTACCTCTCTCCATATAACCCTATAGCCCAGACATAATGTTCTACTTGCTGTTCTTCACACACAACACTCCACCTCCTATAAATAGGTTTTTGCACTGCTTATTCCCCATACCTGAAATGTTCTCTTTCCTCATCTTGGCCTCTTGAAATCTCTGGTTTTCTTCAAAACTCAGCTAAAGGACCACCTTCATCTACATGAAGCCTTTCCCAATTCCTTTAGCTACTGGGCCTTTCCTCCCCACACTATATTGTATTCATTGTGCATATATTCTATACATTCTTGTATATGTACATATTGTTTCCTCTATTCTAATATAAATTCCTTACATCCACTTTTGTCTCTGCATCTCCAGTGTTTATCATAGATCTTGGCACATGTTAATACTTAATAAGTGCTTGTTGATCAGTGGATTGATTGATTTTTGAATCATTACTTCCTGGTACAGGTGACCTTACTTTTTTCACTTAAACACATACTCTTCTGTCAGTGATACAGACAACTGGATAATTTAATTTCTAAAAGAAATACTATTAATAAAGTAGATTTCAAGTTGAAGTGTAACCATGTCTTAATCATTCTCCCTCCAAGTTCACCTTTTTATTAATTACTTTCCCTTGAAGTAACCCTATTTTCATTCCAAACTTGCTTGCTAAAGCCAAAAACATTTGCATTTTTCCAGTGAATAGGAAAGATTTGGTATCAGTTTAGAATGGTCTGTACTGGGGCCTTCAAAGATGCAGTGTGCACAGTGGACACAGGGCTGGTCTTTGAGTTAGGAATACCAGTAATCAAGACTTGTATCTGAGAGATACTATGAAGATGGCCATGGTGAAACCCTTAATCTCTCAGTGCTCCAAAGAACTCTCTAAGACCTAAAGTTACAAATGTAAATGACTTATCTGCAACAAAAGAGAAAGTTTTCACACTAGGGAGTTTCCTTTACCAATGAAACCACAGGTCTAGACTGGAGGGAAAAAATGTGTTTTGATACTTCTGACATATCAATGAAACTACATCAAGGGAAATACGTACCAAGGTATTTTGATATGAAACTCCTGATGAAATTTCTTATTTCCATTAATATATAAAGACCATTACTAAAAGTTAGAAAAGAAAACTGTGAAATACTTTTTTCCCCTTTCGGTTATATTTTTAAAGAAATTAATCATGGAAATGTTAGTCTGTCCTAACTAGATAGAAGGCTATTGAATTCTAAACTTATTTGAATCAAGGAAGGATATAAGGATAGAAAAAATAAAGGAAGGAAGGAAATAAGCATTTACTAAGCACTTACTCTGAAGCAGGCAAATACATACAAACGCATGAAAAAATATATTTTCAAGAAATATATTTTAATTGGGGAGGGAGGTGAAAAGTGAGAGAAAGGTGGAAAGTACCTGGTGTAGGGGAGTGGAGAGAAGGAAGGGAAAGAGGCATGGTCCAGAGAAAGTCAGGTAGAGGACAACATTGGGGAGGAAGGGAGGCTGGCCTAGGCCCCTCTATGAAATGGAGACTCCAGGAGGAACTCACCAATAGGATGGGGCAAGTGGGATGCTTATAGAGAGGTATTTCGTGGTGACTAGGCCATGGGGGTAGTAGGCTCAATATTCCTATTATAATGGAACTACAT